AAAGAAACCCGATCAGATATGACACATTTGGCTTTATAAGGTTAATAAGCTCCTGTTTTATTTGCTCCTGTGTGTTACAGCAATGGTACAGCAGCTCCATGAAGTTGGTTTGTGTTTGGCTGACGGACAGGATGGACCTCCACCTCCACGTGTACCAGCTCAAAACGCTCATCAAGATCGTAAAGGTAAACTTCCATATAACCGAGCATTTTAGAGAGGAAAATGCTTCTCTCTTCTCTTTCCGTCTGGTTCAAAGTCTCGTAAAATAGGCCAGAAACAGGAACGTTTCAAAGTCTGAGCAGATTCTGTTTATTCTTTATGATTATTCCTTATGAAAACTTTGTCCTTTTGAAGATTGACAAGTTTAAAATGGCACAAGTGGCCAAAGTCTTCTTTCCCAACTCCCTGTTAACATGTTGTACAGCATGTAGATTGTTACGTTTAACAAATATGTGTTTATAAATCGCACTATGGAGGCCACAGTAGGACTGTAGCTGTGTTTTTTGCCTAAGTAATCATCTAGATCAAGGTTCTTCAAGGTTTTCCAGGCCAAGGACCCCTAATTATATATATTTTCTGAAATTGTGTTCTATCAAACTGGTCCTACAGTGTGTAAATGTCCCTTGTTATTGGACATTCAGTACTAAGATCCTCAGATAATCCAGAATAATACACAATACACAATACAATAATACAGAAAAAGAGCAGACAAAGGCAGAAAAACATCAGAAAGAGATAGATAGATAGATAGATAGATAGATAGATAGATAGATAGATAGATAGATAGATAGATAGATAGATAGATAGATAGATGGCTGAATGTGAGCGTTGATGACTGGAAGACATCTTTTGCCTCCATTTATCTGTTTACTACAGTCTGTTGGACTCATGTTCATGAGGATTTAAACACATTTACATTATGAAGGGATATAAAAAAACAATTATAAAACAGGACCCCCTGTTGAAGACCTCTATTTTACATTAATACTCCATTCATATATTCCCGTCTTTTTTTTAAAGTGTAGATGGTAGAAAGCTTAACCAAAATAGACCTGATACAAAATAAAATGACAACTTCTTTTATGAGGAAATCTCAATTTAGATCTCTTATATTGACACTTTGAGTAAGTATAAAAGTAGAGCTGGTTTAGTTTGCCGGTTTAAAGACATTTACAGTGGGGGAAATAAGTATTTGAGCCCTTGCTGATTTTGCAGGTTTGCCCACTTACAAAGAATGCTTATTTTTCCTCATCAGATGGTTATCAATTTTTATAAATTCATACGATGTGATTTTCTGGAATTTTCTTTGGGATTCTGTCTTTCACTGTTAGAATGTACAT